AGAAAACACTCGAATTTATAGGACCATGTAAAAAAATTAAATTTTTTTATATACCTACGAACATTTTCATGGCCAATGTTATAATGTAGATTAACTATAAAAAGCCTTTAATTGAAATAGCCTATATAGAATATAGGTGCTAAGAAACATAAAAACTCGATAATCGTACACTGAATACATGAGCTTTACCGATGGTCTTATTTCTACCTACGAAATCTCTGCCAGGGGTGCATAATCTTCTTTATGATCTTGCAACTACAACATTGGAAATTTGGAAGCATATATCGTCGTTTAAAGTACAAAACCGTGCATCAACAAAATGCAAAACCGCGTATGTGAGGTTGCATAAATTATTTTCTAGAGAGCAAAAGCACTCATATTTCAAAATGGTTCTCTTTTTTATAAAGCAATCGCATTTCTGGCTAGTATATTTCAGAACGAATGGATAAAGATTGAGCCAAGAGCTTGTATGAGTAAATCCAATTTTTGGCAGCAAATGTCAGTTACGCGGTTTTGCAGAATGACGATACGCGGTTTTGTACTTTAAACGACGATTTGTATATACATAGTAAAATAGACATGTTTTTTTGACAAGTTGGCAACCCTAATCGGAAGTATTTTCAAACTTATTCTTTCATAAAACTTATTCGTTTGATACTCATATTTAAATATATCATTAAACATATCTTGTGTATAAGTTAATAACTAAATTCGACCTTTCAAACAGGTGGCAACCCTTTTAAAAAGTATTTCAATTTAAAACCTTCTTGAATCTCATTCCTCTGACGTTGGGATGCATATTTGAATTAAGTGATGATTTAAATTGAATTTGACATTTCAAATACGAGGCCGCCCTCCTAAATAAAGTTTTAAAATAAAGCCGTTTCAAACTCATTTTGGTTAATATATACCTTTTTGTAATTAACTTAACTCATTAAATAATGTGAACTTAACTTTTTAAACCAGTGGTGAAAAGGTCAAATACCTCGGAGATAATCTAAGTTACGTTTTCTCAAATAGCTTTTAAAATTTATCTGCCCTTCAAAAATATTTTCCAAAACAAAATCTGTATTTAAAACCTACTTGCGAAAACGGTCCTAAATGTTCAAATTAAAGATTTATTTCCACTCTTTCGTTTGGCACACATATTTTAATATTTCATATAGCTTGTGCATAACTTAATCAAATTCTACTTTTCAAACCGATGGCAATCCTCTTCCAAATAGTTTCAAACTAAAACCTTCTTAAACATCTTTCGTCTAAAAACCCATATTTTTATTTTAAATATGTAGCCTACCTTAATAAACATTATTTTATTTCGACAGCCATATTTTAATACAAAATGCATTATGTGACATAATTTATGTCTGACACATTTTGAAGAAAGAAAGACTACCAAAAAGTTAGAAAACTCATCCATTTCATTAACCTTATTAAAATTGAAGATTGTGTAATTTTTTTTTACTTTCAAAGGTAATACATAATTCGCGGCTATGTTAAGTTAGGTTGACTGCTACTCTGTTTACCAGATGTATAGGGTCACAATTTAGCCATAAGGTTCATTGTGATATCACTAGCGTGACCTGATGTGCACAACATCTACTTTTCCATGTTAAGGATCCATTCATTTTCCCGTACACAGAGAAGACGGCCGTGAATAATCAAAGATTTTTAGTTATGGAAATGGAGAATAAGATAAAGATGATGAAAATTAAAGGAGAGAGTGAAATAACTCTTAGCAGACGACGTAAATATTAACGTCAGGCAATAACTGTTACCAAGCAACTTAAAAAATTAACGTTGGCTTATAACTCTTATCGGCGAAACAAAAAATATTTAGCTCAACCTTAAAGAAACTAGTGGGCCAGGAGGGCCTGTCGATGGCTTTTCGGTCGAACATAGGGTCAAAATTCCAAACTAATAAAATTTCTATACCGAACTATATTGCGTTTGGTGGCCAAAACGCTGGCAAAAAACTGACGTTTCACGTCTGAACAAGGAGCAATAAGAAGGTTTCGTACCGCGGCCTAAGAGTCGATCCTAGGCTGGACCCCACTTCAAGCATCAGCATCTTTGCAAAAAGGAATTTGCAAATGCAAAATTCTGACAGTACTTTTAAAAACATGGTTTACCTGAACTAGATCCCAGATATGTACAGTGGTACACAGACGGATCAAAAATGGTGGGCAGAACAGGAGCGGGTGTCTTCGGACCAGGTAGCAAACTTCCTATTGCAATGGGTACTTGGTCCACGGTTTTTCAGGCTGAGATATCTACTACCAATCTCAATTTCTGCAAAACTGAACCGTGAAAAGGGTTTTAAAGGCGCGTTTATAGTTATATTTTCAGATTGCTAGGCGGCCATAAAGGCCCTTTCCAATAGGACGATCACTTCCAGGCACATCAAGGGGTGATTTGGCACTATTCAACTCTTGTCGCCAAATAACATGGTATTACTGCTGGGTACCAGGACACTGCAGGATCGTGGGTAACGAGGCCGCCAACGATTTGGCAAGGGATGGCTCATCTTCCGTACTTGTGGGACCGGAACCGCTTTGCGGACTCAGAACGCAGTAAATCTTGGGGAGAGGTAGACTTTTAGTTATCATTTCACTAGGAAAGACATACATCTTCTGAACAGAGTCGATATCAATTTGCTTGTGGGCTATCTGACGGGCCATAATCATCTGCGCTCTCACATACACCGGATTGGTATTTCCACAGACAGGGATTACCGTCATTGCCTTGAAGACGAGGAGACGTCAGAGCACATTATGTGTGCATGTGTAAGACTGCAAAGCTTGTTATTTAGCTTAGAGTCATCGCTTAAAGTTGAGATGCAGCCGGGGTCGAGCTTTTACACTGTACCTTTCGCTCACAAAGAGAACTATTTTCGAAAACTTATTACAGTGGTATCTGGCTGGAGTGAACACCCGATGCTACGAACACCTCGAAAGAGTGACCATGAAAATTTTTCTATTGAGTACTCTATAGAGTGAACAATTTTGAGTCTTTGTAGAGTGAACAAAATTTAGAACCAATTCATTCCAAACTTAAAACTGTAACGAAAACTTAATAACAAAAACGATAATCCCTTCGCCAGGCCGATCCCGTAAATCCCCGTATAAAAGGTTCTCAACTCGGAGATTCGGCAACTAGTGAAGTGGGAAGACCATCTGAAGACTTGTAACTTTGCCTCTGGTGTGAGCACACTTTGGTCAACCGTGAGGTCACTGTCCGACGAAGCATGACGACAAAGTTGAAATATTTTTTGGCGACCACGCTTCGTCCGACCCGGAGCGATGCGCGAGCTATTTTAGCCGACAGTTCATACTGCATCTTCCGGCGGACAAAGCCAAACGTAGAGTGACCAGAAGGCTGCACAAACTGCCAACACCAAGTGGGGAGAGTGGTTCCACTGCTTAAACCGGGGAAACCCTCCAACAAAGGAGAGTCTTCTCGCCCGATAGCTCTCCTTTCCCCGTTTGCGAAGACACTAGAGACCTTCTACTCCCGCACTACACAAATAACTCAACCCCAGCGAAGCATCAACATGGGTTCCATAAAGTGCACAGCACAACAACAACAATTGACGCCATAAACAGCCAGATAACTCGTGGCCTTAACCGAAACCTCCCATGTGAGAGAACTATTGAAGTAACGCTACCAGAAGACAAACGGTCGGCGGCGAATTACCTGAGTGGTCGAAACTCGTCAGTGATATTTAGAGACAAATCGAGCAAACCTTGGAAAATAAAACAGGGAGTTCAACAGAGTGGTGTCCTTTCCCACTACTGTTCAACTTTTACATTTCTAAGCTCCCTCAACCACCAGAGGTAGTCTCGATTGTCTCTTATGCTGACGATTGCTCAATAATGGTTATCTCGCCGAGCTTTCTCGCTTCGTCACTGCACGGAGCCTAACCCTCTCCCCTATAAAATCCTCAGCAACGCTTTTCACCACTTGGACGAAGGAGGTCAGACTGCAACTGGGTATTCTCGTCGATGACGAACCAATTCCGACGTTGAATAACCCGAAGGTCCTCAGAGTAACCTTCGAAGGTCTGCTCTCCTTCTCGGCGCATACAACCGCAATTGTCAATAAAGTACAAACCCCCAACAAAGTCCTCAAGTCGCTAGCCGGCAAACAAAGAAACGTTGTTAGCAACGTTCAATGCAATAGGCCGGCCGGTTCTCAACTATGCAGCGCCTGTGTGGTTACCGGGGACTAGTAGGACGCAGTGGATAAGCTGCAGACCTGCCAAAACACTGCACTCAGAAAGCGACAGGATTCCTTCTGATGTTGCCGCAACATCACCTGCGCGACGAGGCACATATGCTCCCGATTAAGGAGCATAATACAATGCTCTGCAAGCAATTCCTAGTAGGGTGTTATCATGTTAGCCCCCAAAAAGACATCTGATTGCGGAAGAACCCTCGCCACGGCACGTCAGAAGGCATCTATATGAACTGACGGACGAAGTCCGGGGTTCATAAAACTATCTCTGAACCCAACAACTTACCGACAGGCCTTGAACGAAATTCAAAGAGAGCCAGTCCCGAGTTATATAGACTATCGACCTGTGAATGCCGTTCTGGGCACGCAACCACCTGACGTGGACGACACAGAGCTTCGTCTGCCTCGGGAGAATCGGACCACATAGCCCAACTTCGATCGGGCTACTGTAGCAGGTTGAACTCATACCTGAACAGAATAAATGCAGATGGGCCAAATGAATTCCCGTCATTCGGAGAGACGCTCCATGACACGCAGCATCTCTTCGCATGCCCACTGAACCCCACCCGGATAATGTGTCTGGCCTTATGGACAGACCCCATCGAGGCTTCACGATTCCTGGGCCTACCGCTATAGCGTTTACGACAACGATACAACAACAACAGGAAACATGTGTTGGCATTAAAAGACGCACTGTGCAATAAAATTGATTGTAAAGATC